GTAGACTGAAAACCGTCGCCAAACATCTCCGGCTGAGCAAACACGGCTTCTCTATATAAACAAGCAAGTGAATCTTGAGGCATAATTTGTCATCTAATTACACCAACACACCCAGGATTAATTGTTGCATTTGAATGCGAAGAAGTTTTGATTTATGGCACGATCAGGTTTCATCAGCCGGTCACCAACAGCTGCTGCCAAACTAAAAGCCACCACAAACAGCCAAAGGAGGGCTCTGGTCGGGGATTTTTTGCAGAGCTGAGGAGTCAAGGGTTATTTAATCACACACAAGCCTGCTAAGGCCCCATGGAAATCAAGAGGATGAAATTAAAACCGCCAGCTCCTGGCTCCAGCAAGGACTTTTTAGCCCCGTGTGCCACGGTGGCTGGTCTCATCAGGAACCAAGATTTTTATAGGATTATGGGCGGGAAGAAGAGGCAGGTAAAAAAAAAAAAAAAAAAAAAAAAACCCTGATGTTTTCCACTTTTCAAAGCCAAAGGGACACTTCACAGAAATAAACCATGAACCACCACCTCCCTCCATCTCAGATGAATTGAGAAAACCACCCCAACCATCCCCTTCCCCTGGGATTTTTGGCAAGCACATAACCACCATGGTGCTGAGCCAAAGCTTCCTGCAGCCACCCACCCCCCTGGGCATCACCCCAGGGGCTCCCCACACAGTCACAGCTTTGCTCACCCAAGAGCTACCCCAGTTCAGCTCCCACAGGGCCCCAGTAGAAACCAGCAATCAATTTGGAGCCAGGCCAGCGTGCCCCGAGGGACCAAATTAGCTCAGTGCACCCATAACTTGCACAAAAACCACCTCGTAGCACCTGGCACAGCACCCGCTCTCCTCCCAAAGGGAAAGGGAAGCACCCACCTCCCAATTGCAGAACATCCTGATGAGAGCACACAGGGAGGAGGGGACAACCAAGGAGGACCAAGAGACAGAAGAGACACAAGGCTGTCAGGGCTGAGGAACACAGAAGACCTGAGCCCCGGGTTTTGTAGGTGGCCATGGCTCAAACAGGTGTCCCCCATCCTGCTCCACCTGCCCAGGCTGATTGCTGGGTTTTAGCCAAAGGAGCTAAAAGGCAGACGTTAAGCCAGGTGAAAGGACTGAGCTTCTGATCTGACTTCAGGTGATCCCCAGCAACCCGCAGCTCCCCCTGATGAGGAGGAGCAGGGATGCTCTTGGAGCATGGCTGGATGCCCACCACATCCCTGACCAGGGAGCCCCATTCTTCACCCTGATGCTTTTTGCCTGCCATTCCCCCTTAGCTCCCCCATCTCCCAGCCTGGATTCTTGTCCACCCACCCACTAACGAAGCCTATTCCACTTCTCCAGGCTCGTGGTCAAGTGCTTCCTCGGCCGTGGCACCCAATGGTTTTCCTTGCCCTCCCTGTCTCATGGATGTTTAGTGCTCACAAAAGGTGCTCGGGGACAGGAGAGTGATGGGAACTGGGAGCAAGAGGGATTTCACCCAGTTCCCTTCTGCTCTGTGAACACCTAAAGGGGGAAAAGTGGTAGACTGATCAAAAAATGGAGATCCACCACGGGGCAGATCGAGCCTAAGGGTGGTTTCAGGAGACACGAGGTGGCATTGACTCCAATTGGCAAGGGCTGATGGCTCCCAATAAGTTCGTCCCAGCCTGCATGCAGCTCAGCACCATCTCTGCATCCCACCACGCTCTTCCTCTTCCTCCCTGGCATCATGGGTCAGCCATGAGGAGAAGCCAGGAGGCTGGGGGCAGATACAGTTTTCTGCCTAAAAACACATGCACAAAGGGGGGAAAAGGCAGGAAAATAATCCCCCTCCCTCCAGAGCTGCCAAAATCCTTTGCTGGGGACGCGGAATGTCTCTTTTTCATGGCCCTCCCTTCGCTCTTAAAGAACACCTGTAAAACATAACACGGGGGAAAAAAAAAGGCCCAAAGATGCTGAAACTGAAACCGTGCACTTGGCGTCACCCCGGAGGAGATGTTTGGGGTTAAATCACTGACCCAAGAAAGTCTGTCTTTGCCCGGTTATGCCTTGGCAGTGGCCACAGCTGGCGAGAGGCAGCAGGCTCTGAGCAATGGGTATAACATCACCTGCGATTGTGGCAGGGATGGAGGACGCCACGAACACCTTCAGCCATGGGGACAACAAGAGTGGAGAGCACTAATCCATGGGGCAGTGGGCTCTGAACTGCGGCTGGGGGGATGCCCAGGGGAAGTTTTTCCATCCCTGGCTCTCTTGCACTGGGTGACCCCCAGAACACACCCCCGTGGGAGACGAAGGTCTCTTTGCAGAGGGTCCAAGAAGGTGAAGTCAAAGCCTTTCTTCCTCCTCGCTGGCTGTAAATCCCTCCAAAATGAACCACCACTTGGTGTGACCGCACCTGCAGCCACAGGACAGTAGCACCGGAGCAAGTTGATGTATCTAAGGTGACTTTGTGGTTGCCTTCAGGCGGTGGCATAGAGGCATTGAGGCATCAAGGCATGCCAGCCTCACCCCATTGTGCCAGGAGGGAAACCCAGCCCCAAAGCAGGACCTGGCTGGTGGCAGAATGAGGTCTGGCAGGTCCATGAGATCATTCAAGAGCAGGCTTAAGCGTGAACTCATCTTGTTTCCAGCCTGATTTTGGACAGCCCAGCAAGGCCGTGTCCCACCATCCCCATCAGAGCAGCCTGGTTCCTCCTGCCTCTCCCCATGCTTGCAGGGACCATGACTGGCAGAGGTGGGCCCCCACAACTGGTCCTGGGGGCACCTGGGGGCAGCAAAGGTTGGATGGGGTATGGATGAATTTATCTAAGGTTTGGTGGACATGGAGCACAGTCCAGGAGTTTTCTCTTATCAACTTCCTTGGTCCATGCTCCATCCAAGGTGCTTGTGTATCCTCAAAGGTGCTGCTCCAAAGGTGCCCATGGAGCAAGGATTTGAGCCAAATCCACCGCAGCCGGGCTGTGGATCACCACGCCACCACTGACAGCATCCCCCAGCCTGGGGTCTTCCACCCCCAAAGAGGGAGACATCACATCCCTTTGGTCCTTGAAGGCGACGGAGCGGGCGCGTTGGGAGCTGCCGAGCAGCGAGGAGGAGGCTGCGAGGCAGAGGAAGGACGGGCAGAGGAAGGACGGGCAGAGGAAGGCTGCCACCTACTGTCCATAAAAACCTCTTTAAGTCATAAAATGGCACAAAATCCAGATCTACACGTGCGTCTTAAAACACAGGTCCATGTCCCTGTGGTGCCGTCCTCCCGGGTGGGAGAGCCACCAGCGGCTCAACCCGGGTGGAAAGGGGAAGAGCATGGAGGACACTTGGGAAGGAAAGACCACCACATCCCAAGGGGCTGGTGAAAATCATGCTTGGAGAGTGGAGGGAAGGTCCTGTGGGACATTTCTCCAACCCGCTCTGCCACGGGGAGCCACGATTAAGAAAACCAAGAAGCAACACGGCCCGCACTGCGCTGCCTGAGCTGAGTTTGTCTTCTCCTGAGTCCCCCACCGCTGCAGGAACCTCATGTGTCTTCCTGGGCCAGGGGGGCATCACAAACAGTGTCATCAGCAGCTAATTAATAAATATCCCATCCAAGTGATGGGTAGGAGATCTGGACCTCTCCTCCAGAGGCTGAGCTAATTAATCTCCTACCTTCTTCCTCTGATGTCAGGCTTTGTCGTAAGGCCATTGTTGGCCCTAATTAAAAGGCTCTTCAAGAAGACTGTCCCCCGAACACCAGCCATATTTTGACAGTGACAATAATTGCAGAAATCTCTTTGGTAGAATAATAATAATTACCCAACCACAAGAAGAAAGGTCCCAGGAGGAGAGGACAGTAAGTGGCGGAGAAATCAGGACTTGGAGCCCTCATCTCTTCTGGTGGCTGGTGTTGGGTGAGGGAGGAACGTGGCCCAGTTTCCCAAGACTTTCTTTTCTCTGCCCATCGACCCTGCCAAAGGGGCATATTTAATCCCTTGAGCACCAAACCATAGACATTCCTTATCCAAGGGCTCCCCAGATATCTCAAAACTGCCCCAGAAACAGAGCTCTGCCATCAATCCTCCAAGCTCATCTGACCTCCCAGCACCTTCAGGGAGCTGAAGTGTCCACCTGGAGCTGTTGGAACCCAGGGCCAGGGCCAGTTCTTTAGGGCTACCCTCGGATTTTGCTCTTCTCAAGCCTTTTTTCCTTCACTAGACAAGGGGATTTGGAAAAAAAATGAGCCTGGTTCCCAGGAGACGCCCCTGTACGACTATTGTCCTCGGCCTGATGCGATCCAGATGTTCCTCCATCTCCTGGGCCAAGTCGGGATGTCCCATGGGGAAAAACATGGCCCCAGATTGGTGGCCACCCACGGTGCTTCCCCTCACCCCCAAAATTATTAAATGCTGGTCAATGGCCCCAATTTCACGTCTGGCCTTTACCCGGGGGGGGGGACACAAACCCAGGCATTGTAGGTGGACTCATGGACCCAGCCCAAAAGCTGCTTCTGCATTTTCGCTCTTTCTTGTTTCTGGATGTTTTTTTTTTTTAACTCAAAGCAGAGGTGTTTGAGAGGGCAGCCCCGCGGGTGGAGAAATCACCTCTCCCCGCACGATACGCTGTGGCAACAAGGGACCATCTCACCTGCAAGGAGGAAACCGAGAGGTCACTCCCTTGGGCCAAGAAGTGGGGAAAAAAAACCAAACAAATAAGTAATAGAAAAGACATGAGAAACAGCAACAATGACACAAAAAAAAAAAAAAGCCAAAACCCAACAACGAACCAACCCCTCGCTGAAGGCGTCAGGTGGAAAATACGGCAATGACGGTATTTTTTGCAACAGCCCCACTTAAAAAAAATCCTGTAATGATTCATAATGACCCGTCCAACTAAAAGCGGGAGTCCCGATGACCTCCCCCCCACCCCCATTCAGCTTTTAGCATCCTGCTAACGAGCTTAAAAGCGCCGGGAAGGAGAAGAGTTGAACCAGAACCGGCTCGAAGGAGGGCGATAGGATCTCCTTTTAGGGGAGCGGTTGTCTCCGCAGAAGGTAAGGTCTCCTTTTTTCCTCCCTTCTTCACTACCCACCTGGGAAGAAACGAAACCCAAGCAATGGAAGGGCTTGTTGAGAGGCACCCAAAAAAGTCTGATTTTTCAGCAAACGATGGGTGGTGGGGGGTGGGCATTTCCCTCCCCCCTGGAGAGGTTTCCAGCCAAGAGAAGGAACGTGTCGCTCTAATTATTAATCAACTCTCTCGAACGCTGCTCTCCTGGGCAGGTAACAGTGGGGCAAGTTCTCCAGCGCCCCGGTGATAAGCTCCAGGTGGAAATCTCTCTCCTGCCCAGGAAAGGGGAGGTTTGAGATAAAGTTTATTGCGGTTAATTATCTCTTTATATTACGCAAACGCTCTGGTGGCCGTATGCCTGCGCCTAAGCCGGGGTGGACATGCTGGTAGGTAATTGTGAGGATGCCATTTTCATGTGGACCCATCAAAATGATGCTGAGACCCCTCCCCCAGGCAGGAGGTTGTCCCATGGGGGGTCTGTCCATCGGCCGGGGATGGGGATTTGGGGGGGGGTGTCAATGGCGACTGGAGGTTTTTATCTGGATTTCTACCTTCTCCAGGAGCGGGATGCAGCTCGCCCGGTGGCTCTACCTCTCGGGGCTGGTGTTTGCCATGCTCATCCCAGTGGGGTGGCCCATGGGGGGCCCCAAGGACTTGGATGACACATCCAGGTACGGGGAGGGGGGTGGTCAGGGCTGGCCGGGGGGTGGCGGGGGCTGTCACAGCAGCTCTGCCCCCACCCCAGTGCTGATGCTGCTGGTTCTCCTGGCTTGAGGGCTGCTGTCACGTCCCTTTTTTGTTTGTATTTATCCAGACAAGCTCCCTTCCGTCTCCCCACCAGCCCACGTGGGGCCATTGCCGTGTGTCCCCCCCCAGGATTTCAGTGTCAGAGCAGAGATGGGGAGGTGGTGGGGCAGGATGGGATGATGCTCCAGGGTGCTGAGCCCCCTCTGCGCCCGTGGAGACCTTCTTGGGGAGCTTCCACGGGGGTGAATTTGTGAAAGCGGGGACACATACACACACACCAACCCCAGGTCTCCATCCTGGAGGTGGAGGAGGTTGATCCAAACCTCGGGGTGGCACCCTGCTCCCTCCTGGGGGTGGCAAACAAGGACCAGGGTGGGGGCACCAACCCACCGCGGCCAATAAGATATAAAGGAAATAATATGGGATGGACGTTGGATATATTTGATGTTGGGAACACCCTGGCCAGGCTTGGTAGACCCCCCCCCAGAATCTGAAAACAATTTTAATCTATTATTATGGCTTTTCTGCTCCACACAGTGAAGTACCTCAGAGGACCCAGCCCCTGCCCCGGGGGACCTGGTGCCGGGAGGGTGCGGGGTCCCCATCCCACGATTGTGCATTAAACCCCGTTTCCCCCCCCCCCCGTGTGTGTGTCCCCCCGGGGCAGGTGGCAGTGGCAGGAGTCACCAAGCGCCCACGGCTTTGTGGAAAACACCAAGAGACATTCAGAAGGCACCTTCACCAGCGACTTCACCCGCTACTTGGACAAGATGAAGGCCAAGGACTTTGTCCACTGGCTCATCAACACCAAGAGGTTCAGGTGACACGGGGAAAGGGGGTGACATGAGGGGGAAACCACCTCCCGACAGCCCCCCAGCCCCATCCCTAACACCGTTTTCCTTTCCCTTCCACGTGTCCTCTTCTTCTCGGCAGCTCCACCAAGAGGTCCCTGCACGAGGAACCCCGCAGCATCCCCTTCCCCTTCCCGCCCCTGTAAGTAGTCCCAAAGGGAAAACACTCCCAATTAAATGGGAATAAAGGAAGAATTTTAACACGGAGCCACAACTGGGGGGTCTGGGGGGGCGAAAGCTCCCTGTGCCTGACGCTGCGTCTCGTTTTTCCACCATCTCTCGTGGATCCTCCGGTGTTTGTTTGCAATAAAATAAGACAAGGAAAATTAAGCTTTTTTTTTTTCTTTGGGGGGGTAGGATTTAATGGTTTGCGATGGAAGGAGGCTGGTTTGTTCTCCCCAGGCTTTGTCCTGACGCCTCACATTTGCATTTCTAGGGGAGGGTTGAGGGGGGTTGAAGTGTTTCATTCTCCTCGGGTGCTCCTTCGCTGAGGAGAAAAACCCCCACCGCTGTTCCCAAGGGATTTCAAGGAGGCGTTTCCATTCCCTGAAGGTCTTTGATGATTGTTTGTTTGTTTGTTTGGAATTTCAAGGTAAAATTGAAGGGCAAATCAAGGCACCGGCTTTTCCAGCAGCATCAGCCCTGGGGATGCCGGACCCTCGGGGGATCGGATGCTCAGTGGGAAGGGTTTATCCATCCCTCGGAGTTTCCCAGTCGCCTCCTCCTAAAGACCCCCCCTCCCCCCCTCCGGCTCAAACCTCAATTTCTCCAGCTCCGTTTTCTTTGTAACGGCCGCGGATCCAGCAGCTCCTCCTAAATCCCAATAAAACCTTTGCTTTTTCTTGGCTGGTTTCTGAGGGCTCCAAAAACCCTTTTCTGAGCGTCCCATCCGGATCCCCGTCCCCCGGGATTTCGAGGCTCCGAGCCCCCTCTTGGCTCAAGTGGCCCATTTTCCCCTCAATTCCTCAGGTTTTAGGTAAAAGAAAAATTGGGATGAGCCTGCCTGACCCCACAGTCCTGTGCTGGGGGGGATTTTTAAATAAATTTAAAAAAACACACTATATAAAAGATAACTAGAATCTCTGTGGCTTTAATTTAATGAATGTAATGCTAATTAATTGTATTGTAAATGGGGAAAAAAAAGCTAATCCCCAAAACCACAGCCAACCCTCAAAAACACCCCAAAAACCCCATCTCGCTCTGGGTGGGGAGATTTCTGTCATCGCCCCCATCCCAGCTCCCCCAGGTCTGCCAGAGGGGCCGGGGGTGACACCGCTGTCCCCTCCCTCCTCACGGCAACAGGGAAAGAAAAAAAAGTCAAAAAAGCCCAAAATTCCAAAATTACAAAAATTTAAAAATACAAAAATACAAAAATTTGAAAAATACTAAATTCGAAAAACACTAAATTCAAAACCCACTACATTCAAAACCCACTAAATTCAAAAATACATTCAAAAAATACTAAATTCAGAACTACTAAATTCAAAAACTACCAAATTAAAAACCACCAAATTCAAAACCTACAAAAATTCAAAAACTACTAAATTTGAAAACCCACTCAATTCAAAAATACAGACATTCAAAAAATACTAAATTCAAAACCTACTAAATTCAAAAACACTAATTTCAAAAAATACAAAAATTCAAAACCACCAAATTGAAATCCACAAATAATTACATTTTCAAATTTTCTTTAAAACCCAAATCCACTGATTTCCACTCTTTCCCCAACCAGCTGGTTCCTTCCCCAAAACGAGGGGTCTCCTCTCCGGGGAGACGGGGATTTCCACCAAATCAGTGCTGCCCACTCCCCTGCCCCCCCAAACCCCTCCTTAAGAAGCCCCAAAGATTCCGTGCCCCCCCCTTTCATCCCCTCCAAAGACTCGGGAGCGGCACCATGAGAGAAATCAGATTTTTATTCTATTTTTCCCGTTACGTTCAATGGGGCAACGGGAGAAAAACCAGAGACGGAGACGGGCGACACGGCTTCGTGTTATTTATGAATTCCACACAATGAACCCCAAATAAAGCCATTTTTTTTTCCAAAAAAACCCCCAAACAAACCCCAAAACCAAACCAAAACACAAAACCACACAAAGATTTGAAGTGAGAAATAACACAGATTCACCGGGTGGATTTTTTCCAACACCCCCCCCCCCCACCTCGGTTTTATTTACAACACAGAGCGTTTCCAAACTAGATCATCTCTTACAAGAAAATAAATATATTTCAGCATCTCCAGAACAAAAATAATTTCTGTATTTCTACATGTAGCGCACTGCCGGGGCGGCGGGGGAATAAATCATTAAAAAAAAAATCCAAACTGTGCCAGCACCTTACTTATTACCTTTTACATCATTTTTTCCCCCCCTTTTAGGGATTGCCACGCATTTCATTTTAGCAAATGTCTTTTGTAGGGGCCGATGGGGGACTTTGGGGGGTGTTTTAAGGCACCAAAGATGAGAAAAACACCCCGTACCCGCCCCACATCGATGGGAAGGGGGGGGTTGCTGCAACTAAAGCACTGGGGGGCACTTCAAGAATATATATATTTTTTTTAAGCTGAGGAACAGCTTGGAGACGGTGTGTGTGTCCCGTCCCCCCCCCGCCCCATATAATTTTCCTCTGCACAGGGAAATATTAAATCCTCCCAAAGTAAGGAGTCACCCACGGGTTTTTGGTGGATTAAGGGGTGGGGGGAGCAGTGCTGGGTCCCACTCCTGGGGAGGAGGGGGGGGCGTTCCACTGCCTTTTAGGTGGCCCAGAGCCCCATTAAGCAATTTATTTCATTTAATCCAGTGCTGGGTCCCACTCCTGGGGAGGAGCTGGGGCGTTCCACTGCCTTTTAGGTGGCCCAGAGCCCCATTAAGCAATTTATTTCATTTAATTAAAAAAAAAAAAATTATAATACAGAAAACACAATCCAGCCCTGTAAATAGAAAAAAAAAAACAACCCCAAAGCTTCAAATGCCGAAGAGGCCCGTGCTGGGCTTTGCTTTTTAAGTAACATTTTAAATAACTTTTAAAATATTAAAATAACATTTTCCAGCCCCCACCACCACCCTCCGAGGGCAGGGGAGATGCAGAGCCCTGTGGGGCCGGATTCAGGCCCCTCTTCATTAAAACCAGCCCTGTTTTGACTCCAGGGTGGGTTTATTTCTTTATTTTTTTTCTTTATTTCCAAGCTGTAGAGGTGCCGGGAACGAGCCCAGAAACAAGCCCAAGCTCCAGCCCCGGTCCCTCCGAGTTCAGCCTGGTCCCTCCTCTTCCAGAGAGGGTAATAAAAAGGAAAAAAACCAAAACTGTACTATATTAGAAGTGTAAAATGCTATTTCAGGGGCAGGGCAGCCACAGGACTGGTACCACAACCACCAGAGCCGGTCACTGGATTTAATCCTTATACCCCTGTGGGAATTAATGTTTATTTTTCCAAAGGAAGGAGAGATGGGGGCTCTCCCAGAGGAAAAGCAGCAAGAAAATCCCAGATTTGCACCTTTCCCTTCCTCCAAGCCTTTTGCTTTTTGTCCCCCCTCCTTCTTTTTAAGAGCCAAACCAGTTCCTCCCCACTCCAACCCACACCGTGCCCAGCACCGGCCAGTTTGGGCAACCCCAGCCCCTAATTTTGGATGTTGGGCCGCTTCCATCCTTACAGAGCCAGGTTATATATTATTTTTCTTAATTCTTCCCCCCATCTGCAAGAAGCACCAACTCGCCATTGTCATTTTTGGGTTGGTTTGATGCAGAAAAAGGTTCCTTCAGGAGGACGGGACAAGCTGATGGTTCACGCACCCATTGCACCCCTCAAGGGACGTCGTGGGGGAGGACCTTCTCTTTGGGATGGTCCTGGGGAGGACCTTCTCTTTGGGGTTGTCCTCTCCTCCTGGGCTGCCGTGTGCCTGGGATGACACCACAGCCCAGCAAACTCCCCCAGAAGGTGATGAGCACAAGAAGCATCTTTGCTCAACAACTTCTTCCTGTGAAGGGGAAGGGAAATCGGGGAGGGGGAAAGGCACCGTCTCGCTTTCCTCCTGCCTCATCCCACCCCTCCCAGGCTTCCCAAGGATTCGCGGGGGGATTAAAATCCAGAGGGAGCCAGGGAGGGAAAGGGAAAAGATGTGGAAGAACAGGGAGGAACAGGGAGGGGGCAGAGCCCCAGGTCCCACAAATCCCTCCCAAGACCTTACGGAGTATTCAAAGCGATTTTAAGTGGTCCCTTCTATGAATTTAGAGCCAGGGGACAAGAAGGAGGCGTTTCTACACTTTGCAGCTTCCAGGCTGATGGAAGAGCCAAAGCAAGAAAAAAAAAAAAACACCACCCAAAAAGCCACCAAAAAAAAACCCACCCAAAATAAACTGGAGCTCAGGACTCAGGGAGCAAATGGTTTTCCTTCTCCTGAGCCCGGTCACTCAGATGCTCCGGGCGGCCCCGTCTCGGAGGAAATCCCTCTCCTGCCAGAAAGAGCCATAAGAGTGAACTGAAGGCAGGAGCCCAAAACCAGAGTTGGAACAACCCGGTCATGGATGAAGAAGAAAGAGGAGAATGCGTCAAATCACAGAATCCCACAATGAGGTGGGGTTGGAAGGGACCTCTGTCATCTACTCAAACTCCCTTCCAGAGCAGGTCCCACCCAGAGCAGGTTGGATTCATCCAGGAGGGAGGGTTTGGAATGTCTCCAGAGAAGGAGACCCCACCACCTCTCTGGGCAGCCTCTTCCAGGGCTCTGCCACCCTCAAAGTCAAAAAGTTCCTCCTCATGTTGAGATGGAACTTCTTATACTCAACTTTGTGCCCGTTTCCTCTTGTCCTGTCACTGGGCACCACTGGAAAAAGACTGACCCCATCCTCCTGACCCCCACCCTTGATGAGATCCCCCCTCAGTCTTCTCTTCTCCAGGCCAAAAAGCCCCAAGTCCCTCAGCCTTTCCTCCTTAGAGAGGAAAGAGAGATGCTCCAGGCCATCTAAGAGAGATGCTC